CAGTGGCATGTCCTGAACTCCTACAGCCACATTTTGGGGTGGCATATTCTGCTACCCTTCAACCTCCATCTTAAGCAAAACGGAAGTATTCTGCGATGGTGAGAAGTACATGTTTGCTCTACCCTGGGTTAAGGTGGCTGGAAACTACATTTTATAATTAGCTCCAAAGCACCATTCAAAGATTTTAAATAAAGCGTTCAAGCAGGACTACTGCCACACACTCCGACGTAGCCAGAGGTGCCCAGCTCTCAAGGAGGCACCCACCGTAAGGACCGGCCCTTGCAGGAACTTGAGAGTGATTGCATCCAGAAATGGTGGGCCCTGGCACCTTATGTGTCTCACCCTAGTCCTTGGGCCTGTTAGCAGTTAAGCTGGGAGATTCACTGACTCATGATGAAGATCAGAAATTCATGCCTGTTGTAAAATAAAGTTCCATTTAGGGGAGTGTATTAGTTTCCTCAGGTTGCCATAACAACGTTTCACAAACCAGCTGGCTTAAAACTGAAGAAATTTATTTTCTCACGGCTCTGGAGGCTAGAAGTCTGAAATCAAGGTGAGGGTAGGATTAGTTCCATTTGAGGTTCTGAGGAGGAATCTGTTCCATGCCTCTCTCCTAGCTTCCCATGATAGCCGGCAATCCTGGCGTTCCTTGGCTTGTAGATGCATCACTGCAATCTCTGCCTGCGTTTTCATGTGGCCTTGTCCCTGTGTCTTTCTGTCTTCACATGACTGTCTTCTTCTAAGGGCACCAGTCATATTAGATTAGGGGCCAGTCCTACTCCAATGTGACCTCATCTTAACTAATTACATCTGCAATGACCCTATTTCCAAATAAGCTCATATTGTTGGGGTTAAGACTTCTACTTTTCTTTTTTTTTTTTTTTTTGAGAGGGGATGACACAATTGAACCCATAACAGGGGGGGAAAAAAAGAATTTTATTTTACATCAATTTTTGAGAGCTGCTTTGTTCTAATTACCCTTATTTTTGTTTAGAGCAGGGGTCACAGGCTGGTGACCCAGGGCCAAATTTGGCTTCCAAGAGTGTTCATTAGGTCAGGGTCTCCACCATTCCCTAGTGTCTTAAGCTGGCCACTTCACAAATTTGCAGTACCTGAGGGGCCCTTGAAGGCATCTGCATAAGTGACCCTTAGTTTAGAATTTGCTATCTCAGAACATCTTCGTTGTTTTACCACCTTAGCCTCAGAACTACGCTGAGAGGCAGAACAAATGTGTTCTCATTTCACTGACCAGGAAACAAATGTGTTCCCATTTCACTGACCAGGAAACAGTCTCAGAAAGTAAAGGTGATCTGCCTGGATCACACTGATCACACAGTTAGAAGTAGCGGAGCTGAGTCTCCAACCCAAGTCTCCAGCCTCCCAACGCAGCTTGAACACTGATCAGGCCCACATCTCCACATCTCCAGCCCTGCAAGGCAGCAGTGGGCTCTCAGGACCCACCTTCCACCCCATTTCCCCAGCTAGATTTTCAGAGTAGCAAATGCCAATAGCATTCTTGAGTCTTAGAGACTTTTTAAAAAGCAGGCACATTCCTGGAGGAAAACCTCTGTAGATGTTCCTCTCAGAGAGAAGAAAATATAATAATGTGCTGTCTGAGTTAAGGGCAGTCTGGTTTTGAGCTTGGTCAAACTTTCCTTGTGCAGGTATGCAAGAAAAAGGAGTGAAAGGGACCACACCCTCTCTTCTCTTATTCTGGAATTCCTATTAAACAGGATGGCAGACCTTCTGGATCTATCCTCCATGCTTCCTAACCGTTTTTTTTTCTTTTTTTCCCCTATGGCAGCATGAGGTATTTTTTTTTTCATTAAAGATCCAGATGTGGAACAACCTTTGGGGGAGGGTGTCACTTAGGGGTCAAGCCCCGTTTCACCAGCGCCCCTGTTTGGAGAAGTTGCCTTCACAGAGGCCGGTGGTTTTTCGATTTCCTTTTTGGTTGTTCTTTTGAGAACTTGATACTTGTTCTGGGCCCCCTTCCTAGAAATATGCACTTACAAATGTAAGGAGATGGAACAAAACTTCTTGGAATTTCCCTTATGCTCGGTATTTTGAAATTCCATCATAATTAATCCAGGTGTAGGTCTTTTAAAAAAAAATTATTCTTGGTGCTCAGTGTGCCATTTTACTGTGAAAGCTTACTCCTTTCTTCACCTCTAGGAAGTAGGACATAATTTACTTCTTTTTCTCCCCCCCTCCATTCCCTCTGTTCTCTCATTATGGAATTCCTATAAAACAGGATGGTAGGACTTCTGGATCCATCCTCCATGCCTCCTTCTCCCCCCTCCCCCAACTTTTTTTCTATGCCAACATGAGGTATTTTTATTAAGAAATAAAAATAACTAAATGAAATCCTTTAAGTCCCTTTAAGACTTGGCCCTGCTGTGTGCACAGTAGTGCTGAATAAACATGACCTCCTTCTTCTTCATTCTCAGCACCTATATGAACAAGCACATCAGCGACAACAATAGCTAACATTTATTGGCACCTTAGTGTGTGTAAGGCAATGAGCAAAGTACTTGATACATTACCGTATTTAATTCCCAGAACAACCCTATGAAGTAGGTATAATTACTGTCCCTATCTTACAAATGAGGGCGCTGAAAGCCATAAAGCAGAAGTTGGCAGACTACAGCCAGTGGGCCAAACTGGCTGCTGCCTCTTTTCTTTTTATTATTATTATTTTTAAAATTATTATTATTATTTTATTTTTTTGGCCATGCCATGTGGCTTGCAGGATCTTAGTTCCCAGACCAGGCATCAAACCCAGGCCCCAGCAGTGAAAGCACCAAGTCCTAACCACCGGACTAGCAAGGAATTCCTATCTAAATTTTCTTTTATACTTCCCACCTCTGGTCTTTTGAACTGCATTTTGAGAGAATTTCTCCACTTGATCTTTCAACTTTGTTTTTCACTCTTCAGCCATATCTATTTTGTGATCAGTCCATTGAATTTTTATTTGGAAAACTGAGTTCTTAAATTTCCAAAATCTCCACTTGATTCTTTTTAATATGTGAAATATCCTTTCACATTTCTTGTGAACCTATTAATTACACTTAATCTGAAGGCTTGTTTTTTAGTAGTTATTAATTCTGTTTCTTGATGTTAGTTTTTCTGATGGTGGATTTTGATGGCCCTCTTTCATAGTCTTGACTTTACTCAAATGTGTAGTTTTCTAGACGTTTGTCCATGTTTTAATTGTGCATTCTTGTTCTGTTTGTTTACTGAGTTTGTTTACTGTTTACATGTCTGCTCTGTTTACTGAGTCTGCATGTAGCAACTTGGTGGGAGGAGTGGAACGTGCTGGTTGGGTATCGATGGGGTATGTAAGGAAGAAGAGGATCTGCCTTGTCTTTTGGGTACGACAATCCTTTCCCTTCCTGGGCATTAGTTTTTTGGGACAAGACCTTGCCTCTGGTCCAAGAGCCTATGCTCAGTGTTTTGGTCTGGGGTGAATCCCCCCTGCAGCTAGCTGATTAGTACAAATGTGAGGAGAAGGGGATAATTTCATTAGATACTCCAAATTCAGTTTCCAAATTAACCATCCCAAGGAATGGCCCAGGGCCCATTAAATCTGAAAGTCTGATATTGAAGTTCTTTCTTAATATTTCTACTTTTGTGCCAGGCTTCTTGTGCATGATTTAAAAAAAAATTATTTATTTTTTGGCTGCATTGGGTTTTCATTGCTGCGCATGGGCTTTCTCTAGTTGTGGAGAGCAGGGGCTACTCCTTGTTGCAGTGTGCTGACTTCTCACTACAGTGGCTTCCCTTGTGGAGGAGAACGGGCCCTAGAGTGCGCGGGCTTCAGTAGTTGTGGCACGTGGGCTCCATAGTTGTGGCTTGTGGGCTGTAGGCCGCAGGCTCAGTAGTTGTGGCACACGGTATTAGTTGCTCCACGGCATGTGAGATCTTCCCGGACCAGGGCTTGAACCCTTGTCCCCTGCATTGGCAGGTGGATTCTCAACCACTGCGCCATGAGGGAAGTCCCGATTTTTTTTTAACCAATGTCAATCTTCTCTTTATTATCTGCCTTTGGTGTTAAACTTCTGTACTCCCCTTCACCTTCAAAATAATAAATATTCATCTATCTTCTTCTTTTACTATTTTTATGATTTTATGTTTTACATTCAAAGCTTTTAGCCATCTGGAATTTATTCTAACATCAGCCATGACTTAGAGCTCTAACTTAATTTTTTTCCTAATTGTGAGCAAGTTGTACGCACCATGCTTTCCATGTGTGGGCTTTTCAAAGGCAGCTCAACCCCCAGAGCTCCATAAAAGCCTAAGAGCTAAGAATAGAAAAGGTAGGACTATAACTCAGTCAGATCCTAATCTCTGCTCCATTACTGCTCACTCTGGGACTCTGGCAGAGCTCCATTCTCCTTAGGGAAAAAGCTCTGGCCAATGATGTAAGGCCGAGAGGGCTGAGGCAGTGAGAGAAGGATTTGCAGAGTACCCTCTAGAGGAGATTAATAGTTGCTGCGTCCCTGCCACTGGGCATGGCCTCATGGGAAACAGTTGCTCAGCCTTGCCAACTATTGCAAGGGACCCCAAGCTCTACCCCTTAACTGTATTTTCTTTCTTTAACCCCCATGTCCTTTCCTGACTCAAAGCCCATCTCATGCTGCTCTTCTGTGAAGCATAAGTGCTCCTTCTCCGGGTCCCCACTGCATTTTCCACAGATCTTTAGTGCAGCTTTTGCAATTGTTTGTTGATATGTCTATTAGTTAACAAATAAACTAACTTACCAGGTATGAAGGATGCTACCTGCCACGTACAGGAGACAAAACCCAAAACACCAGAAGATAGAAGGTGCTGCTGCCCCTGTAGTATTTGCTGAGGCCCCAGGTGTTTGTGGCACCATGGTTGGCACCATGAGTGGCTGTGACTTTGATTAGGCTACCTGAAGCTAAGGAGTCCATTCTTTTTGACAAGTGTCAGGTCCTGGAGAGAGCAAGAAGAATCAACTTTTTCTCTTTCCTCAGGGAACTGATAACCTGGTGTCTAAAGTGTGTAGAGAGAATCTTGGAAGAAACTTCAGGAAAGGAAGAAACAAGGCCATCAAAACCTTCAAAGCGAATAAGGAATAAAGTTGAGTTGGAGAATGCTCCCTCATCTATAAAATATGTGCACCAGCCGTTCTTGTGTGCTGAGTGTGTGTGAGGCACCAGACTCTTAACACACCTTATCTCATTTGATCTTCATGAAACCGGGTGGCATTATCAGTTGCATTTTGTCGATGAGGAAGCTGAGTCTCAGAGAGATGAGATGATTTACCTGTGGTCACTGCGAGGAGGCCACAATCAGAAGCCCAGGTAAGGAGGGGGTTAACTTCAGAGAGGAGAAGGACCCACCCTTGGCTGTTTGAACTCCCTCTTCCTCTCCTTCTCCTTCTGCTTGGAAGTACCTGGTGGGGCTGAACAGAATTTTCAGTTTTGTTCTCTGGACCTTTGCTTGGTGGTTTCCTCTGCCTGCACTGCCCTTCACAGCACTTCTCCTCTGGTGAAATCTTAGCTTTCTCTTAGAGGCCACCTCTAATGTCCTGGTCCTGGTAGGGCCTCTTCCCCCTCCTCCTCCCCTTCCTGTAGCCCTTCAGGCAGGGTCCAGCTGGGCTCTGGTTCATGAGGTACATATCTCCCCAAAGCCTGCCTTCCCCTAGGCTGTCCTCACTGAGGAGAGACAGACTCAATATTTTTTGGTCTCTCCAGGGCCTAATACAGGGCCTGGCACACATGCTTGTTGACTAAGGGCAGGAAGAAAACCAACATTTTTTTGAGCAGTGTCAATGTGTCATTCTCAGAGCTTGTGCTGTTCAGAATTTACCCCTCTAAATCCTCCCCTGGAGATTATGTGAAACTTAGACAATAACCACAGAAATACTCATTCTTTTGAGTTGTCTTTTGCACTATTTCCTTGGGAATTATCCTTTTTTCTTTTTTCCTCCAAAAGATATTTTACACTTTGAGAATTAACTAAGAGAAAGTTTCTTAAAATACGTATAATATAAAATTTACCATCTCAACCGTTTTCAAATGTACAGTTCAGTAGTGTTTAGTATATTCACATTACTGTGCAAAATATAAGATGAACTTTTTCATTTTGCAAAACTGAAAGTCTATACCCAATAAACAGCTCCCCATTCCCCACTCGTCCCAGCCCCTGGAAACATGTTGTTACATGTTGTTTCCAATGTGGTGTGTTAATTTGACCGCTCCAGATACCTCAAGTAAGTGGAATCATACAGTATTTGTCTTTTTGTGTCTGGCTTATTTCACTTAGCATAATGTCTTCAAGGTTCATTCATGTCTTAGCATAGGTCAGAATTGCCTTCATTTTCAAGACTGAATAATATTCCATTTAGGTGTAGTTTTTTGTTTGTTTCTTTTTGTTTAATTTTCAACTTTTCTATTGCTCTTCAGTTTCTGTTTTTGCTATTACGTTTTAGTTTTACTGCATTGTGATTAGAGAATGTTATCTGTATTCATCCTACTTTTTGAAATGTATTGAGATTTTGTTTGTTTTTTGTGGCCTTTCATGTGGTCACTTGTTAATGATCTCATAAAGAGTATATTCTAGGTTTTCAAGGTACAGAGCTTGATATCTTTTAATTTGATCTACCTTACTAAGTTAACAAATCAAGTCCTCCATATCCTTACTTATTGTATGATTTATTGATCAGTCATGGGCTAAAAGAGGTGAGTTAGAATTTTCTACTATTACTGTATTTCTGTCCATTTCTCCATGTACTTCCTAATTGTTTTTGCATTATAAGTTCTGATACTATATTTTTGGTGCATAAATATTGATGCCAGATCTTCATCGTGGCTCTCAGCCTTTATCATTACAACATTTTCTCCTGTATCTTGTTTTCTGATTTTCTGTGAATTCAACCATGTCTGATGTTAATACTATAACCCTTGGGGTTTTTTTGTTGTTGTTGTCGTCGTTGCTTGTATTTGCATATGTGGTATTTGTTTTGTTTTCTATTTTTTCCTTCTCTTTTACTTTCAGTCTTTCTGAGGAGCACTATTTTAGATGTGTCTCTCACACATGGCACTAGTTAGGTTTTATTTTATGAGTCCATGAGCTATTTCTAAAGAGTGAGGTGATCAGGTCAAAGAAAGCTTTTAAAGCTCTTGGCCCTCATGGCCAAATAATTTTTTCACTGGTTGGACCACTTTGTCCTGTCGCCAGCATTTAGAAGCAAACCATCTCCCCACCACTGCCAGCATGACTATTACACAGCTGCTTAGATATTTAATAGGTGAAAATGGGACCTCATTGTTCTTTCATGCTTTTCTTGGCTTCATCTAATTCTACTTTAAGTAAATAAAGATGGAAGAAAAAAGAAGTTAAAATGAAACATTCCTTTTCAGATATCTTCAGTGAGATTAAGATGGGTGGTGGTGTTTCTTATTGCAGATTTCCATGACATTGGACCAATCACTTTCCACAAGCTCCTCAGCTCAGGCCTTGGATCTCCCCAGGAGAAATTGTGTAGGTTTCTTCCTCAGAGCCCTACACCTTGCTTTCTCGCCTTCTGTAGTGAATAGGCAATATAACAGAACAGGAAGATATAGGGTCTGGAGCTAGACTGAGTAAATTTAAATCTCAGCTCCATCTTTGCTATTTACTAGCTGTGTGTTCTATGGCAGTTACTCAACCTCTCTGTGCTTTGGTTTCCCGAGGTAATAATTCTCAAGGGTAACAATGATTACAATATTAACATAGTAACACCTGTTGGGGTTGTTGTGAGGAACAGTTAATTTATGCAAAGCACTCAGACAGGATTATTACTGTTGTCTCTTCCTCTGGGAAATACCCATTTACCACTTCAGCTAAGGTGGTTTTGGTGGAAGCATTTCTTTCTTCCATGGCCCTGCTTCCGGGTTAGCCACTGCATTTAGTCTTAGGCCAGGGGCAGGCTCCTGACAGAAGCAGAACCAATCAGAGGCCTTTCCTGGGAACTCTGAAGTTGGGACATGAGAAAAGAAGCCTTTGGTGCCTTTCTGGTGGGGAAGCTCTCTGAGGTGAGACCCAGGCTCCTGGCAGCCATGTTTCCAGCCTGTGAAAGGAGCCCAGCTTCGAGAGTGAGGCTGACTGACCAGTGGAGAAAAGCTGACATTAGAAATGGCAAGAGTCTGACATTACTGGAACCCTTAGTTTTGGCTGTCTCCAAAGGCACCGTGTGAGCCAATGAATGTCCTATTTTCTCTAAGATTGCTTGCATTGAGCTTCTGTCACTGCAATCAAAAGAGTTTTAATACATTTCCTAAGGCACCTTAGGACAGTACAGATCATGGGGTCTCCTGTCCACCTGTCTCTGAAAAGCCCTCCCTGAGACATATGCGCACACGCACACACACTCTCACAGAGTCATGGCGATTGCCAGCTCCTAGGAGTGAGCTGTAGTTCCTTCCCCGCCTGCACTGCCCGCGCAGTCCTCTACTTCTCCACACACACCAAAAGACAGCTGCGCCAGTGCCCAGGCATGAGGAAGTGCACTTGCTAAACAGGGTGTTATCCCGGAAATCTGTGCCTTTCTCTGTACGCTCCTTGTCCTTTTCTTCACTGCCCTATTCAGTAACTTTGCAAATGTATAAGGAGCACCTGCCAAGAACCAAGTCAGGCCTGGGGCCCCAGAGAGGCAGTTCCTGCTGTCAAGGAACCCGCAGGCTGTGGGGGCCATCAGGCCATCAAAAGACTGCTCTGAGAGAGACAGTGGGGTGAGTGTTGAACAGATGTGCTCGCCAAGTGCCGCAGGAGCTTAGAGGAGGCTCTGTCGCTGGTTGCCTGGGATGGTCGTCTGGCTGATCTACCCGCCTCGAGGTTCTCCCCACCCCCGACCCATCCTGCCCACTGCCGCCGGAATGTCTCCCCGAACAGATGTGCGACTGCCTCTGCCCCCTGCAGGCCTGAGCCCACATGCCTTAGCCTGGGAAAACCCTAAACCAGATATTGCCTCAACTTACTTTCTCAGCCATGTTGTCCACTGTTCCCCGTTCACAAACCTTACCCATGAGTCTAACTGTGCCACTCACCTTCATCAGATGCATTCAGTGTTTTCCCACCATGGTGCCTGTCCTCACTCTGTTCCCTCTGTCTCCCATTCCTGTGTGTCCCGGCTGTACACACCTTCCGAGGTGTGGGATGGCAAATGCGTTTCGTGTGCCTGCTCTGATCGTCTGGCTGTGTTTCTGTGTTCAGAAGGATTCTGTAGACATACTTGGGCTCAGTGAAAGAGTAAGGGATCAGTCAGCAAAATCTACTATGGCCACCAAATTGGGTGTGTGCTGGGGATGGGCGTGGGAGGCAGTGGGTGGTGAGGAGCAGCACACTTGGGATGCATGTGCGCTTTGTTCCAGGTCCAGGTCTTATGCATCTCCCCATCCCCATAAAGACTTCCTTGCTCCTACAAGTGAAATTAACTTCTTTCTCTTCTGAACTTTTATAGCCTTCTCTCTGTGCCACTGTAAGAGCACTGGTTTCTCCTACCTTTTTATGGGTACATCTGCTTTTGTTCTATTTGAGGGGACAGATGGTACCCTATGGAGTATGGTACAAGGGAGAGATTCAAAGCACATTAACTGAATGGATGAAACCATGTGGAGCACTAAGATGGACGTACAAAGGGCTGCAAGGGGCCCATCCTGAGGAGCTGGCCTTCCCCATGGGCCTCAGCTGACTCTGGGGATGGTGTTGTTACAGATAAGTTCTCACTCCTGAACCAACTTCCTGCACTGCTGCTTCTGTCTGACCTGCCGTCTGCTGTCGTCTTGTGCGTCTGTGACCATGAGGTCTGAGCTCCCAGCTTCTCTAATTCATTCCTTTACTCACTAAACCACAGCGATGCCTCCTGGGTGGCCAGTTCTGTGCTCGCTGTTAGGGGCCCAGGGACGATGTCCTGCCTTTAATCCTATCACTGACTTGGGGAGAGTGGGGCAGAGGTGGTGGAAAGACGGAGACCTGAGTCCTGGGATTCAAGGAGAAGAAATGTGGGTCCTAAGACAGGAGTAGGGAGGGTGCTGTGGGAGAAAAACAGAGGCTTCTGGGGCAGGGTCGGGGTGGAGGTTGTTGATACATCCACATCCACCAAATTGCCTCTTTCTCTATGCTCCTCAGCACCTCATAACTGGGTTGCCTGATTGTCACTGCAAGCTCTGTGCTCCCAAGTTTCAGGGCCCGTATAGATGGAGTCAGGAAAAAAAAATTTTTTTTTAACATTTACTTGTTTATTTACCTGGTTGTGCTGGGTGTTAGTTGCGGCAGGTGGGCTCCTTAGTTGTGGCTCGTGGGTTCCTTAGTTATGGTTCAC